CAACAATTCCTTTGTGGCATAGAGAAAATGACAGAGAGAACTCTGTTTTCGTCTGCTAATAGACTATGCAAAGGCCTCTGAATCTACCTCTATTCCGCTTCTAGTTAGGGAAGTAGAGGCATATGGGATCAAGGGTTGCTTCGTCGATTTTGGCTGGATGTATACATTAATTGATGATGAGATTGATTTGAACTTGCACGACATTTATCAAATGTCAAGAAGCGCAATGGCGCTGAGCACTCTTACACGAGAAAGCACTCACATCTTCATCGTGAAAATTGTCCTGAAATTCTGCGGGAAAGGAAAGAAATCCTCTTCCCGCAGCCACGCTGCCTACACTGGTCGGATGAGGAATATGTATAATTCTTTTCGCTATTTTTTACTACTGCACCTTTTTCTATTTCATCCACTATCTGAAGATGAGATGTCACAGTTAGAAGACAGAGATTTTGAAAGGTTGTTTTCCATTTATACAATCAAATGGATTCCAGGTACAGATAGCGTCTGCTACTCTGATGCAAAAAAAANAAAAAAAATCGCTTCAGTTGATGTCGAAAATTATTGCGAAATGGAAGCGTGTTTTTACCATAGGCTGGCATCACCCACGCCGTCGATAACGTAGTTTACTGTAGAAGCTCGCATGCACGATGGGAATAAGTGTTGCAACTTTTCGGACAGGTTTCTGAATTCCATACTCCTTCAAAATTAAATAAAATCAGCAATTACTAAGATAATCACCATTGACATCACAGCTTCTCAGACTCTTCCTTCCACGATTTTGGCAGCTGCGGCAGAGAGATGGTACTTCAATGCTCCGAATTCGGGATAATCAGAAGGCTACATATTCGTTAAGTATGCCGGGTCTTCCAATAATTACCATGCTGATTCCTTACTTTTTCAAAGTGTTTCCTTAGCTGAGTGGGTGTGGGCTTGCGTTATCGTGAAGAGGAAGAAAACTAGGTTTTTAAGGCGTAGTTCTTGGCATGACATCGGTCTCTCTTCGAAATCGTCAAAGAACCTCCAAAACTTTCCCTAGACTAGAAATTTATCGTACGTAAGTTTTAACGGCTTGAAACAAACGGAACTTTTTCAAATAAATTACGTTCTGGCATCCTGCAGAAGCGAACGTGGCATATTGGCGAAGCGACCGAGACCTCTTCTCACTTTGGAGTTCAGACCCTAGACAAAACCAAGCAGAATCCTCCATCCCTCAGAGAGCTACCGCTCACCATCATACTTCATTCATAGAGGAAAGAAAGATGAAGTCAGTGGTTCCAATACTTCCGCGACCCATGGTGTGACGCTCTCGCATATGGAAATGCTCTCACGGTTTTGGGTGGAGCTAAAGGCTTGGTATCTCAGAGAAATCAGCCATCAACAATTTATTCTTAACTTCTTGGCCAACATTCAAAAACACTTGATAATGAGCCCTATAATTCGGCATTGGATGAGTCATAAGAATGAGTAGCGCCAGATTCGGCAAGGCACGTAGAAGCAATAGGAGGCGATTTCCCCAGTAATGGAAGAAATGATAGTTAGAGCTTCTATAAGATTTTCACAGCTTTTACTAAATAGTGCTTAAGCACATCTGCTTCTTAATTAGACAGTCACCTCCATTAACCACGTTAATCATTGAAAATACTGATCAGAATCTAGCCTTTGATGAAGCGTTCTTTATATCAGTCGCGTTGGCAAAGAAATTGAAATGTTGGACCACCTTAGTCATTTATTGAAATTTTTTCGAAGCATGTTGCTAATTCTATCACAGCTAATAGCGCAAACGTCGTCAAAACTTTTTCGACACTATGTTCTGATCGCTTTATCGTTTCCCTCCCATTCATTTCGCCTGGAGTGTGAGGTTGCGGAAAATTGGTAGTATCCTTCTAGTTCCTGCGGAAGATTTGTGAGCAGATTAGGCATCCAATGCGGTCTGCCCTCTGCAATTAATTCGTATTGCGCCACGTAATCGGCATGACTGGGAGCATTGGGAAGCGTTCCTAATATATTTAGTTTAAATTTTGGGACTAGTTTCGTTCTATTTTCATACCAGTCCTTCATGGAACGACCGAAGGCTTGCTCAGTCTCTTGAAGTTATTGGGATTTTCAAAGAAGAACACTTTTTCTCTGATCATCGTTTTCCTTCATTCGTTCTCGCCCGTTTAGGAGAAACGTCTTGAAAGTGATAAAAGTTTTTTGGTGTAATCAATCTCATTTCGCTATCAGCCTCCACATCAGACAACATTCAGAATCGTAGTGTGACGCTTGAATATATGTGGTGCCCGCATCCTGAGTTGCGGTGGCCATCCGATGTACAAGGAAGTTGTCGCGCCGGCCGCGACGCATTGCTCCTCGCTATACGTTGGCATCGGTGTTCGCCGCTCAGCGGCGTCTCCGTCGGCGTGATTGCCTGACCGTCATCTTTCAAGGCGCTCGCTCTCGCCTCATTTGCCATTTGTTACCTTGGCCCTTGCAGCCCCCACGCCGTTCCTGCACTCCAACTTTCACTCTACGCCTGCTCGTCCTACAACCCGAGATAGCCTACGCGCAGCCTGACTTCAACATTCAAACCAGATATAACCTTCACGGCATCACCGTCTACGATATTGAACCATTAACACAATATTATACGCAGTAACTCATGGGTACGCCAATAAAAGGAATGTTAACACGACAAAGGAAAGAATAGGTAGAAAAGGAAATACATGTTATATGCATATGTGCATAAAAAATATGTCAGCAATTAAACTACGAAGATAACCAGCAAACCTACGTCTCAAGTGGCTCGAACCCAGTAAGTTAATCTCATGGGGGGCGACATGGCTCGGGACCGCTCGGCACCTTTGAGCTTCCATGCCCAAGTCGATCACTTCACATTCCATCGGATTGCATCATACTTCCATTTTCGAGCGACGACAGGACGACGGGCAGTGGCGGCCGGTTACGATGACGAATGCAGACCCACTGCCTGATGGTTTTAGGCCAGAGTACGCGTCGAGTATAGCCGACGCGCAGGCGCAGATACGCTGTGCGCGCCGGGACCCCGCGCCCGATTAAGCGTGGCCCTTTAACAAGTCGGGCGGAAGCCACGACAGAAGTCTTTTTTCTCTCAAAAGAACACGGCTTCAATCACCGCGCAGGAAGGATGGAAGGTTTGGTGGGCCTGGGCGGATGATGAACCAGCATTCGATCTGAGGACGATACGATTGTGATCCTCGCCATTTGGCAGCGCTCCACTATCTTCCAATCAAGAAATTCTTGGGGTATGTTGACGAACGTGCGTCCGAGGATTGGCGCGGCAAATTGCGCGGCGAACTTCGTTAAGATTGGAACGACTTGTCAGATCTATCATTGGGGCCCAAATGTGAAGTAGAGTAGATTAGAAGGATCATTTGACCCTACTAAACTACCATACATCGAATTTGTGCCGCGGAAATTGGCGCCAGAGCCGTACAAATAGTCACGATCTTTGACGCGCAAGTTGCCGCGCGCATCCTCGAACGCACGTAGTGCACGTCTCCCAAATCTTTGGAGTACTCACGAGGCAGGTGAGTTATAAAGAAAACTTGGGCCTTTGACATGACTTGATCCCGTAATTGTGCTATCCGTACACCGTGCTCTATCGCTTACGCTACAGAGACCTTGGGGTATTGTTGCGAAACGTTACCGGTTACCTATTCCAGTGGTGTATTGAAACGAAGCCTAATAATGTTCCTTCTGTGGTTATGATTAGTAAACACCGAATACTCCGATTTCAAAATGTCTGCTGTCCGCATGGGACCTTTGCGAGTTGTCAGCTACAATTATTCAGGAGATTCTGGCCCAAACCATGAATCAGGGACTGCTCCGACTGGATCAGTAGCCTCATTATAAAGAAACATCTAAACAAATTTCAATATAAAAGCAACATTCACAAAAAGCATTCTTTTCTTAAAGAGCAGCCGAACTATTAATCATTGACAATAAAAGCATATCGTCATCATGGTTTTCTATGACTGACTGCCCACGACTGACTTTGAAGCTAAGAAAGTTTGCCTTTTGACACCGACAGGAAGCCACCTGCTGCCTGCCAGTGCTTCGAAGCTCCTCTCATGCGCCTCATCATCAACCGATTTCAAGGCCATGTCGCTAGTTCAGAGAATGGACTCCAATAAACCATCCCTGGCGTTCTGCACCACGGAATCCAGAATTATCAAGAAGGTCAATGGCCCAGTAAGGAGCCACGGTGTAGCCATGTTCGTGTTGTGTTCCATTGGATCAAAAAGTTGGTTGGGGCACCTTAGGTCCATGGTTTCATAACTAAGGCTTTACATTTCGGAAAGCTCCATTATCCTGCTCTTCCAAGAATTCTCACTGGGATCTTCGAACTGCTCCTCAGCTGTTGTTCAACTGGGCGCTCGTACAGCTACATTTCGAAAACAGTCACCTGGTGTCCGCGTCACTGTGCCACTCCACCAAACCTTCCTCCTGGTACAGTTACGAAGTACAGCTAGATGGTACTGTTCAACGCACACGTGTTGTGATCCTTCCTGCAGTCACAGTGTTAAGGAACCAAACAGGCCACCTAGACCCGTCTCCGGAGTGCCGTCCATGCCGCAGTCGGTTTCTGATCGTGCCGTTCTCAATCATCACCACTCCCACCGATCTCAATTATCACTATTCCCAATCTTCAGTGCGTTCGAAGAACTTCATCCTGCCAAACCGTCATTCCTTGAGTCTCAGCTTTCCGTTGAGACTTTTTTGGCTCCATCAATGAGTTCTTTCCAAATTAGAGTTATTCGATAAGGTTTCCTAGCCACTCAGTCTCCGCTTCCAGTCTAACCTCGTGCCTTGACCCCCAGCTACTATTGTCATCCAAATGGCTTCAGTACAGCTGGATCCAATTCCAATTACTGTTGTTACGTACTCGAATTTCGTGTCTCCACTTCACTTGGGTCACATCAATAGGAAGCATGATGTTTGATTTGTTTGTTCTCAGCTGAAGTCAACGCTAGCTTTTCAGGATGACGGAAAATTCTCGTGGAGCATGGGGGAACCAAATTCAATTTGTACTCACCTGCATTGGATTTTCAGTTGGTTTGGGTAATCTTTGGAGATTTCCAGCTATGGCCTACGAGAATGGAGGAGGTGAGCACGTGTGGCCTGAACTTTTCTTTCGATGGGCTTCTCGATGGCGAAATCGTATAATACTCCTCTAATGGAGGGAAATATATCGGACAGGAAATAAAATTTAACGCATTAAATTGAAGGGGTGAAAATGGTGTAAGCCAAAACTTTTTCAGCAGCATTCCTCATCCCCTATGTCACCTGCTCTATTCTCGTTGGACTTCCATGTTTGTATCTTGAATTCTTCATCGGCCAATCTACTCAATCCGGACCATCGAAAGCGTTCTGGTATTATATGCCAGCTCTACAAGGTAATGAGTTTTGAATAAGATGTTAAGGAGAGCTTTTTTGTTTCTCGTCAGTGGGAAACGTTGGGGCTGAGACGGGCCTCGAACCCTTACTTGTGCCTTACCGGCCTACCGATATCACGCTGAGCTAGCCTTGTTTGATGACTTTCTCAGTTTGTATGACCATCCGACTGGTTGATGCAATTTTTCATTACAGGTATAGGCTGGGCAATGTCCCTTCTGAGTTTACTGACTGGAATTTACTATAATCTTGTGGTGGCTTGGTGTCTTCGGTACATTTTCGATGTGATCACCTTCCAATCATCAAAATGGACATCTTGCGATAACTACTGGAACAGCGAGAGTAAGTTCTGACATACAGATCCATACGGCATTCCATAGAGTCGTCATTGCCTACTGGATAGTTGACTAGTTGATCCAACAACATAGCCTCACTTTCGCTTTCTATATGTGAATTTCGGTAGAACGATCGGAATCTTTCCCAGGCACATTCCAGTAATTACACCGACAAGTTTAGGCTCACATGTTTTTTTTAAGAGAGAGCACTGAGGAATCTGACTCTTTTCCATTCACCTGTTCTTCAGCTTGTCAGGGTATCAATGGATCTGTAGCCGCCATAGGAGATAATGCTACATTTGCGGCTCAAGAATTTTTTAGGTGAGTTTTTCTTAGATAGTCCCTTTTCTCAACTCCTCCATGAAGTGACCCCATCTATACTAAACTGATTATAGGAACAGAAAAAAAGCTGGGCTCCGATAGCAGACCAAGAAGAACGTGGGGGTCTTCCCAGTCGATCCCCTTCACCATATTCGGAAGTAAAATGCTCGGCTTATTCAAGGCACTCGCAACTGTCTCGGTTTATTTCCATTTTAATATCCAACCCTGAGTGGTGTAGTGGTAAGCCGCCCAATTTCACAGTGCATGGTCCGAGGATGAAGACCCTACTTGATACTCGTCTAGGCCAAACAAGTCTCCCTTCCCTGCGAGGTTGGTTAACTGATACAAGACTGTTTTGGGAGGATAAAAGCTCATTGCTTGTGACCATACGCGTTCAACCGTTCACTACGACTCCGAATGGCAATAGAATGTGGGGTGCATCCCGAACAAGGGATTTGCTAATGCCGAATGACTCTATCTTTTGTTCTTTCTGGTGTTTTTGAGTTTCGGGACAGGCGAAAGTATTGTCAAGGAAGGTTGCTGACAAATATTCGGATCTGAAGGTGGAATTTTTGCTTATCATCGACCCAGAATGCCGAGCCATCTATCCCATTAAGCAGTACAAAATGACTGGTAAAATGGCTCGATTTTTGGGTCAGAAGAGGATTTCAACGAAACAACGTATTCGGGTGGGATTGGAGTGGGATGTCTGGGGCACCCAAAACAGGTTCGACTTAAAACACAAACTAAGAATCTTTTCATTTCAGATATCGCTTATTCAAAATGTCTGCTACTCCGGAAGAGTATGGCATGTTTAATTGGGAGATGTTCACTGCACTGTTGATGGCCTGGATTATAACGTGTCTGTCAATAATCAAAGGAGTTTCAGTTATCGGAAAAATCTCATTTTTAACCGCTACTTTGCCTTATGTTATAATAGGTAACTCAACAGTTACTTAATGTGATGCTGACTGCTAGGAATATCTCCTTCAGTGATAATGTTCATTCGCGGGGTGACAATGGATGGAGCTAAGGCCGGAATAGACTACTACTTGCTGAAGCCGGATATGAGTAAAGTATTTCGCCTAAAGGTACTGGCCTCTGTCAGGATCCATCTCCATTACAACAGTTGTTAATTCAGACGTGGGTGGAAGCGGCCAAGCAGTTATGTTTCAGCCTAAGTATTGGCTTCGGTGGTCTACTGGCTTTGGCTTCTTTCAATAAAAAAGATCACAACTGCTTCCGGGTACACCATTCACATTCTTCAAATCCATAATCGACAGACGTGCAAAAGACTTAGAATGTTACTATCGAATGTTTTCTCAAAATTAAAGGCACAGTTCACGATAACTTTGAGGTATCGATCTTAAGCGAAATAATGGAAGCCATAACGCAGAGTAGTGCTAGGAAGGAGAAGAAAGCGCGAAAACTGTTGGTTCAATAAAATGTAAGACTCAAAGATGAAGCAGGAAAGGGGTTGTACGAGATGGCCGTCTGGGAGTCTCTCATCCAAGCCATAGACTTATTCTAGCGGGAAATCTCACAAACCTTGCTATCTTAAAATCCTGTTATCGTGAACTGTGCCTTTGAATATTGAATAACAAACCGAATTGCAATCCTAGATATCAACTATAACGGATTAATCGTAAGGCACTTATTGAGGATGCTATCGTCGTGACTATTTGTGATTGCCTTATGAGTATAATTGGTGGTGTCGCCGTTTTTTCGACCCTCGGGTCATTGTCAAAATCGTCTGGGAAACCAATAGATGATCTCTTCAAATATGATGGTCAGTTTGTTTTTTAAGACTACTTGTCTGATGTGGAAGTTATGTGAAAAACGATCCATTTCGGTGAAAATGAGAGTCAGGCAAAGTTTCTCCCATTCGTAATGAACCAGCTTGTAGCGTACCGGGAAAATGATAGCGCTGATTGTTATATGAGGTATCCTTGCAAGGCACGGCATAACCAAGTTACGGATTCTTCATCAGCTACAATAAGGTATTGGTGCTGAATGCGTGCCCCAATAATCTGAGTAGATACTCGTCGGTAAGCTACGCCCTGGGCTGCAGTCAGAATCAGCTCGAGGTCTTAAGCCATCTCAGAACCCAGATGCATCTTCCAATCCTGCTACTATTCCCCGCGTCAAACCCATGGCCCAAGCATTTTGAGCTCCTACTTGCTGTTTTGCATGCCCTATGGCGACAGTATAACTGAGCAGCTCTATATTCTCAAATGAATTGCATATTCAGCTCCTTCAATCACCTTCGTAACTTACCCACAAGCGATCAGTACCATGCCTGTTCCTGAGCTGTTCGCACTCCTATTGTTCTTCATGTTTTTTCTTCTAGGAATCAGCAGTCAATTCGGTATGTCACTTGGTAACTCTGGCCGTAGAACTGAAAAAGATGCTGAGTTCAGGCACCACTCAGACAATCGTCACCACAGTGACTGACCAATTTCCTGCTCTGCGAAGATGGAAATGGGCGGTGGCCGTAGGGTTGTGTATATTCTGCCTGCTCGTTGGACTGCTGATGTGTTGGCAGGTAGTCATGGCTGGTAAAGTTTATATATAAAAATGTAGCCGATATCGAAGCTCCAAAGTGTTATTCGTACTGATCTAGAAAGTTCACATCGTGTTAGGGATATGTGGGATGGGCCGATGCAGATTCTGAAGCCAAGTCAATGAGTGGTGTCACAGAATTAAAGAGAAGCCCTGCATTTGCAACAGAAAACCTTATTAGACCCTTTGCGTAAACAAACACTCTGGAGCAAATACACACTACCCACCATTGTCATTTCAGTCCGGCTTTTACTGGTTTCAACTGTTCTTCAACTCTATTGGTGGCATTACCGTCCTCATTCTGTGCCTCGTTGAAGTTGTCTCCATAATATACCTCTACGGTGACAAGCAATAGAACTTACAGTACTTCATTTTCCCATTCGTTTTAATTGTACTTTCAGGTAGATCTAATATAATTCGTGACATACGAAAGAACCTTGGCTACCCTAAAAGCAGATTGACAAAGATATTCGGCGCCTCAGGCTACTATATATTGCTATGCTGGACTGTTCTTACCCCGTTCATACTTATGGTATTGCTCTATCATCAAAGGCAGTAGGAACGAGATATCGGTGCGCGTGAAAAAAAAATGAAATAGGAAGCTATGGATAGTCTCGCAATGACGAAGAAACTTGAAGTCTCTTTCGTAATACTCTGAGAATAGGCCCTAATCCTGCTTGATTGCCTCGCTTGTTGAAGTCACCGGAGCACTTCTTTTCACAAGTTTTCTGATTCTGTAGAAAAGGAGCAGTAACGTAGTGTTATAGTTGAACCTGGGCACTACAGGCCTGGAGGACAGCCGTTTCAAGACATCCAAACGCTTGCAAAGACTGCATATGGTATCCATGCCTCTTGTGGTTTCTCCTTGACCTTTTCCATTCCCTGCGCGCGTACCTGAATTGCCTACTGCCTTTGAGCCCGCTTTGGATCTTTTTTTCCTTGATTCTTCCAAAACGAACGTCTCCTTTCAGGTCGTTGTCGTAACTGGAATTGTTGCTGATTTTTGTAGTGCCACTAACAAAGACAGGAATCTGTTCTTAACATATCTACCTCTTCTTCTGATCCCTGGCCTCACTTTCATTAATATCTGGTATTTCGTGAGAAAAGGAAAGGTGACTGCCTACCAAAGATATCGTCAAATGATGTTGTTTATAACTTTCCGTTCAGAGTTGGAAACAAGCCTTCATAATCCGGTCACAACTACCTTCCATCGAAACACGAGCCAAAGAGGTGAGTTTTCCATGGCTTGTATCCTTGTTTCCAAATTATAATAGTTATATAGAGTGAATTTGAGTTGTTTCCCGTAATAAGTTTGACAATTATGCCATGTCTTGACCAATTTGCCAGAAAGTATTTCTTAGCGTTGCTGTTACAAACATGATTCCTATAGTCGTAGGGAATGCCGATTTCCACTGAAGCCGATGGCGTACATCTCAGAACAGACCTAACCAAAAAACTTGTTTTTCTGGATTTTTTCAATGCAGCATGGGCTCTTTTTTTCTTGAAGAGTTTGTGAATTACTAGGAACTTCAATAGTAGTTGTAGTAGTCGAATTTGGGGAGGAGGGGGCTGGGGGAGTCTTAGGAGATTATGATAACAAAAGCCGTGTTCGAACGCCGATTTAGTTGAACGCGAAAGCTGACAAAGCATCCCTGCCACTGGAAATAAGTTTTCACCTTTACTGGCCCCAAGGTTTGAGTTTCCAACATATGCGCTCTAATGTGAATGGTGCAACCTCTTCGTGGCCGTTTAAACATGACCGCGTTTGATCCCTTATTGCGGCGTATCTATTTCTCTTCCACACTTCCCGATTAAGTATATTTGTCTATATTCTACAGGAGATTATCATTGTGGGATATTAGTAACATCACTGACACAGTATTTCGTTGTTACTGGTGTTTTATTTCTTTAGCATGGCACCTATCACATTCAACATCGCAGCTAGGCCGGGTGTTCGGAGAGATTGAAGAGGCCTGATCACTCATAGACGAGAGAGCGCAGACGAGCAGACATTTGCGTTGGCGCTAGCGTGAGAATCTACTGGAACTCAGCGGCGGCAGACTGAATCCTTAATTCCACATTCACGCTCCCTACATCGCTGTGAAATAAGAAGGGCTTACTTGTTCTTCGCTATTTTTAACCCGTTTTGGTATTTCTTTTACTAGATAGATATAGGGAATCCCAATCAGGAGGAATTAACTTGAAAAAGTTGTTACCCAGTATTGCAGTCAAATGGTTCTTTCCAGGTACGGATAACGCCTGCTACTCTGATGCCAAACGATAAAATCTTCGCTTTCAATTGATGCTGAAAAATGAATGCGGTATGAAATTCCGCTTTAGTTGACATCAACCATGCCGTTGACGGCACAGTTGACTATAGAAGCTCACATATTACATGGGAATAAAGCCTTGCAATACAAATGTAATACAATGCAATACATGGGACAAATTTTTGAATTTTATATTTCTTTATTGAACAAATCCTCACTCACCAAGATAATCATATTTGTTATTTGACACGTGCCTGACTTTCGAACAGCTACTCGACCTTTTTCTCCCAGAGTTCCGGCAACTGCTCAAAGAGAATTGCTAGATCTTCAATTAGATCTTCAAGAAGGTCATCAATTTTCTCTCCTTTAGATGGTGCTCCAATACTCCAGGTAGGTGATAAGTGGAGCGCTAGAGGTCAGTTGAGTAAGCTGGACATGACAACACTCTCTATTCCGATTCCGATATTTGTGTTAAAGTGTTTTGTTCGCCACGTGAAGGTGTGTGATATCGTGAAGAAAAGGGCATTAGGCATTTCTGGCCGTAGCTATTCGCATGACATAAGCCTTGTTTTGAACTGTCTAGCGATTTGACTATGGCCGTCACTTTGGTGCCAGTGTCGAGCAGTTCCCAATAAACCATCCCATTCAAATGGTTGACTAGTACGTGGACGTCTTCAAATGAAGTTCCTACAGCAACAAAGCATTCGTACCATCAGGACACTGTCTTATAGGCACAACATCCTTCTTGGATACAGCGCAGATGTTCACTGCTGTGACTTTAGCGAAGTGTCTAGGAACCCAGTGTAACGAAACTTCTCCCCGATTGCGGCATTCTCCCTTGCGGCAAATGTCACTGCAATTACCGTACTCACCCCGCCCTCCGCCAATCGATATGACGCAATATTTTTCGTCGGTTGCCTTTCTTTTTTATTGGTTTTGACCGTTTTTTATTTTTCTTTTTTTTTGTTTTTATGTATATTAGACTTGTTAAATTAGAATGACTCCTCCTATATTAGCGACGATCAATACCGCATTGGAATTGAAGGGAGCGGCAAGCCAATTCAAATAATCAAAGGACTCCCTACCTCACAAATTGCGCGCTCTAATCTTCCATCGCAATCCTGCGATACGCGGCGGGTGTGGCATGCGCGACGCCGTCTTCGGGGAGAGGTTCCCCGACCCAGGGACCCACAGTAGACAGCAGGGTCTGAGGTCCATTACTAGCTCAATCCATGCTAGGGTTCAATGGCACAATATTTTTCAGAAGCTCTTTCACGTCCTTTATGATAGCCACATATAAAGATGATGGCTACTTTTTCAATTTTGAAACGAGTTGTATGGAGAATTAATATTTACATCTTTCTTGTTTGATCATTCACATTCATGGCTATTCACCATGGTGATATAGCCTCATAAACTTGGAAAACTTATAAACGCTCGGAGACAACCCATAAAGCAACTAACATAAAACATGTTCACATCAATTTTAGCTCGTTTTCATTACAATCATATTTTCACGTATTCGATTTAATTAGATTGAAGTTGACATCAGACGATGCTTGCTTGCTTTACGAGTGTAGTTCCCCTAAGCTGAATGTGATGCTTGATCTGGATCAATGAATCCACTTTTATCTAAGTTCCATTCTCTTTATGTCATGCTAAATTAACCTTTTTGGCGATGATCATCCAATGCCGGGATGCGTCCCGCATTCGACTCCATTCAGAAGTCGAATGCGTTGCTCACTCACCCGAAACCAAATTTTAACTTGAGGTCTTACTTTCTGCTCCTGATAGAGAATGATATTTGAACCAGTTGACGAATGTAAATAACAGATTACAGCTCCATTATTGAAGGACCAAAATGCGACATTGATTAGGCCTCGTCAACAAATAGGCATCATGATGTCCAAGTTTCTAGCCCTCAGCTGAAGCCCAGCCTTTTCTTTGCTCTTTGATCCCAGTGAAGTGCACGTTTTTCTTGCTTCATGTGCCTCCGTAGGCCTTTGAAGCGAGTCCGCAATTACCCAAGAGTTGATACCACTTTTTTCGAGCTGCTTTGCGATGTTCGCTTAGGAATATAGCAGGGTTTGATTGATCGATTAATTGATTGATTACATGAGCAATACATTTCCCTATATCTACATCATTATATCATACCCCCTCGAATGTCCCCTTCATTCTTTCTACTTCAACTTTTTCACCGCGTCGTATATATGCTGGATTTTTGTCATATGGAATCTGCTCCATCTTTTAGTGTGTAGTCACTGTGGCACAAACTCTTTCGAACTACGAAGTCTATCCTGTGAAATCGAAGGTTGTAGTATCGATGGAGAATGTTGACTTCTTCACCCTACAACGATCCGACATTGATGCTATGACAATCGCTGTTCACACTTCCGCGTGGGCCGGCTGATCTTCGTCGTGGGCGGAGCTGCATTTGTTCAGTCAGCACAAGGCTTCACTCAGCTACTAAGCTGTACCTCAGTGTGGATAAAGTCTTCTGAAAAAAGAGGCTTTTTCGCAAAGGACTAATCATCACTGTCACGGATATATCTCTTGCGGCGTCATACCGTTTAAAGAGAGCAAAAAACATTTTACTAATTTCCTTTTAGGATGACTACGGATCAATCTCGAGGAGCATGGAGGAGCCAACTTCATTTCATTCTTACTTGTATTAGTTTTGCTGTCGGATTGGGTAATTTGTGGAGATTTCCGGCAACTGCTTACGAAAACGGAAGAGGTAATCAATGCTTTTAACGATAACCTGTGAGCCCTAGCCTAACTATTTTGGCTTTTTGCCACAAAACACACTGTTTTCATTCTCGAACTTTGAAGGAATGACTTGTATCTTGTTGCGAAAATTCTTTCTGGAAAAAATAAATGTTCCGAAGTGAAATACACATTAGTTTTTGGAAAATTTTTGTTCTATTCTAGACAGCAGTTCCTGCACTGTGAATTTTCAGCGGTGTTCATCATACCATATGTGATTTGCTCAGCACTCGTTGGTCTTCCATGCTTATATCTGGAATTTCTTATCGGACAACTTACTCAGTCCGGTCCCTCTAAAGCCTTCCGATATTTCATGCCAGCTTTGCAAGGTGAGCTTTTCCGAACTATTTTCGAGGGGTCTTTTTTGGAAGGAAACTCAAACCCCTGGAAAAGGGTTTCACACCACCTCTCACACATGTATGGTTCGCAACACGGAACGATACTCACCCATACTAACTAAGCCTTCCATCCCTACTACAGGGTGTCCCAAAATTATTTGCGCCAAAGTTCAGTAATTTTTAAGGTAGAAATAATCTATCAAATTCACATTACCTGTCATTGGTTAGTTGCATAAGAAGGTTTCCTTGCAATATGCATGGTTGCTGATGTGGAACTATCATTATCTTTCAGAAGGAGGAGGCTCATTCAATGCCACTTGCAATCATTGACGCGCGAGAAGTGGAAGGGCGTTATAAAATTTTTTGGGATTTTTCTAATAACCGCATAGGAGGCTATTAAACGATATAGAAAAGAAGATTGAATTAGAGACAAACCAGGAAAGATAGAAAGGTAGAATGTTCCTGAAGATAGGACTATTGAAATGGTCCGCATGCCAATCGGTCGGGATCCTGGGTGACCCATCAAAAGGAAGTCAACGGGCACGGTTTATTCGAGTTATCGCGATGGAAGAATGTCATGC